ATTTCTAATTTACCAAACTTTCTGCTGTGTTCCTAGTCCGTTTATAAGTATGTACGTCCGTAAGCATTCTCGTAGTGATGGCGATATCTCAATCTAAATTTACTATACATTCTTCAATTTACTATATCATTGAATTGACTTTTTTGTTGCTTCTTTCTTTCGTGTCTTTTATTTAGTAGTTTGAAGACTGAATAGGATTTTGGATATTGACTTACTTCCACATAGAGCCAAGGGATTTGCTGAGCTCTGCGTTGTGCAGCGACGGCCTCTGCTCCGACAGACGTCGTCGCATCGCTTGGGCAAACACCATGAAAGCGTTCATAGGACGCTTTACGTGTCCGCGTCGCATTGAGCCACCGCCTCTGATAAAACAAAAATAATATCAAATTATTAATTTTATAACATTCTAAGGATATAGAGACATCTAAACATAAAGCTAAGAAGCTAAGTTGCGCTTTACCTAATTTGAAAGGGTAATTAAAATGATAAACAATCAATGAAATGTTGTTTATTTTGGTTTAACCTTTTACCGGCTATCAGCTAATGTCGAGTAAGCTTTCATTTAAACCTGACACGTAACGAAAGTTCAAACAAAGAGTAGGTAACTTAAAGTTGAGCGGGTGCTTGGCTGCGTCGGTACATTCAAACGGCTTTAAATTTCGGCGTGCGCCCGATAATTACGAACCGAGCGGGCCATCGTTCGATGACTATAAAGAAAATAAGTTACGAGTGCGTTTACACATGCAGTAAACAGTTGTATGGCTGTAGATTTGTAAAAAGGCGAAGTGGCGCGGCCTCACGTCATTTCACGCTCGTAAACATCTCTTATTTTATTACGTTTTTTTTATTTTCTAGTGCTGCGTTCGGGTTTCCTCGAGATCTCAATGCTGACAATAAATTATGTTTGATTTTTTTTCAAACGCTGACACGCCACTAAAAGTCGATCGATTACTAACGGATTGGTAACCGCCAGTCGACTCGAGCTAATCGGCTGACGGCTTCGGCGAACCGCCGTCGATTTCTTCCTTTAATAGTTAGAACGATTTCTCGTAACCAAAAATAATATTAACTTAAATTTTATTGGTTTACATTCCTCTTACACCAGGTCATTATTCAAACAGTTAATCAAACCTCATCCTCAGTTGACTCATCGAGAAATGTAAAATAAAAAAACAATTTTTATGAAAATGGTTAAAATCATAACTTTAGTTATGCAAAAAAAATAAAGTTTGCAACCCCAAACATTTCTAACTTAGGTATACCAAATAAAAATGATAGATAGATAACAAGAAACAAGTACTATCCTTTGACTTAAAATATTAACACTTAATCCCTTCAGTTACGAATAACTTAGAAAACTGCATCCATCAAATACCAGGCGATGGGTACTATAAAACCTGTTTTTATATCACTAAACTGATTTTTTGACACATCAAGCTGTATCAACAAAATAAAGTACTCTACTAGTTCCGTAGTAATCAATGTTAATAAATATATACATGTTTCAAATCGGTGATTGAACTGAGCGAAGTTTTTGTTGTGCGGCAAACGGGACCCACCGCGCGTCGACATCTGGTTAGTAACATCTCAGCTCTTGACAATCTCACATATTATTTGTATGTTGTAATAATAGTACTTCCTAATTATGGAATAGTATACTTTAATGACCTTTCTACCTTAAATTTAAGTTATAAAAAAGCTGCAAAGATGAAAAATTTGTACTAGAGATTTTACAGACTGATAAAATTCGTTGAATAAGATAGTAGTTGAATGATATACTGGAATGTACTATTTTATATTTCACGTACTAGTTCATGGAGATAATAGACCAACATTACAAATCCTAATAATCTCTCTCGACTGTCGAAAGTCGACTAACTGTCAACGAATACTACGTATAAAGTAAAATAGCATATGTCCTTTTATACCATTGGTTTAATAACAATTAAATATTTAAAGTAACTAAAATATACAAGGGTTGGACTGTTACCTCTTACTTGTATAGCTAGAAAGCTCCTACAGCTGTAAGGAAGACGGAGGTGACAGTAAATCATCTCGTGCATGACTATAAACTTTTTTGTTAGAACTCCTTTCCGTTTCGTAATAGGTTTAAGTCTTTTGGTAATAACTTGGTATGTCGTAATACTGTCAACTTTTTGACGATACATATTTAACGAATCATAGTAAAGTTGACGAAGATGAAGTCGTCTGTATAGTGGGGTTTAAACGAAATAATTTTTTAATTTTAGAAAAATGGCACTAAAAATACCATGAGACTAATTTCAACTTATGTTTTGAACTGGGTCATGTTAAAGAATGAAGATAATCAGAGTAAATTCATTATTATTTCTAATTTTATTAAATAATTTGAGCAGAATACTTCTTAGTTTTACTTTTGCCGCAAAAACGACTTCCAATGTGTTATCATTTTGATTTTTGTTTTCGACTCTATAGATTATTAGTCCTCATTAGTTGAGGTAAGGTCTCGTCCTAGTTCCGAGTTCAAGGCACCACTAACTGATGGAGACCTACAGTTCGCGAGAAGCTCTTGTGTAAACTCGCGAAGCAAACATTGTGATTCACACGTTTCGAGACCGCCGCGCTACGATAGTAGGTAACTACTTCGCAACATAGCTAGAAAAAATTGTAAACTGTACTAAAAATATTATTATTTTGTTTTGAGCTTTATTCATACGAAGATGTTACTGTAAACTACATAGTTATAATATTCTTGCCGTGAAAACGTGTAAGAAGGCAATCAGACATATGACGGCTGATAGAGATGTAAGGATTAGAAGTATTTACTATACCGACTCTCTGTAGGAACTAAGACAGATTGATGATGATGATTTTGTCATCAGAGATCAAGTAATATTCAGGTACATGTCAGCCTCCAAGAGTTTATTCTCTTATGACGCTCATATCCCCGACCTGATAAAGTAGATCATTTCGGTCTACCATTAACGTATTATCTCTGGTCTATAATCTTTTGGGTTTTATTTATTTTCCATTCATTCTTTGAGCGATTTACAGGGTCTTGCTTTCTCACCCTATTTCATCTGAAAAGCTTGCACATTAACTGAATCATAATACCTAATACTCTTTACAGTAACACGATCGGTTATAAATAGAATTCACAAAATGTGTAATGAGTAAGAGATTGTTATGGGTCTTTTGATTTATAGAGTCCATTAAAGCTGTACCTGCCGCGCGAGGTCAACTCGCCTCATAAAAACTCTTAACACGTGTCAAATTTTGTGGCGACAGCAATACTGCGTAGCTACCCGATTACAAGCTGAGAGTTGTTTTGAGTCTAAATGTAAATAAAACACGATATGTAACTAACTACTGCTTTAAAAATGTACGGGTAGTAAATATTCCATTCTTACTACTCGTAAAAACTTTGTGTGGGTAATAAAGAATAATTCCTTAAAACATTTCCAACGTCTCACCAGATTAACTATTACATCTAAAAAGTCAACCAACACAACTCTATTTACGCAAAATATTAATTACTTGACTCCAATCATCTCGTCAGTTGATTTTAAAACCGGTTTTCGAAACCGTTAAAAAGTTTTTTTATTTAAATTTATCATTTTTTCACAGACAAAGAGAGGGAACTTTTATAATACGTATCTATTTTGTAAAAATTACTTTAGAAATTTTCATTAATTTTGATGGGGTAACGTTACGAAATTCGGATAGCGAATAAGATAACAATTGAGAAGATTCTCAATTCACAATTCTCTTTTGCAAGAGGAGGCCATTGGCTGAGGAAGTCATAAACAGTGCGGATGGCTGTCGTGTATGACGAGCCCGCCCACGCTATTTCTGCGCGGAGCTGCACCGGCGCAGCGGGCAGCGGGCAGTGGTGGTTCTTGCATAAATCTGCGAAGCGAACATTACGTTGGACAGCTTGTGTGTTACTAGTTTAGTTTCGCGCCATTTGTTTGTATCTAGTGAGATACTAAACGTTTTAAAGCACCTTTCAAGTCTTCTCATGAAAATTTAATGAAAAATTGTTGATAATGATATAGATCTATTAAATATTTTCTTTTAACTTTGTCATTGTGTAGAGATGTGTACTTTTGTTTAGAGATAAATTAAAATACCAATAAGTACTACAACACACGACAAATATTGTTAACTGTAAGCTGTATGATTTTCGTACACGTTTCGAAATTATCGCGGGAACTACTGAACTACAGAAATTATCGTAAAGCGCATTCCGTACATAGAACGTCGAATCGTCGACGTTAGTCGACTCTTCAGCAGTTACATTTACATACCGTCTACGCGGCTAACATGAATGCTTGTGTACCGAACCTCTGCGATATTTTATTGTGTAAGTCACTTAGCGATTAAATTCGAAAAACATAGCCTTGTGTTAGAAGAAGTTGTGCGTCCCGGAGGCCTAATTTACTCCTCTTTCCCTTCTCACTCTTTTTCTTCTAAGAAAAGGATAGGAAGTGGAAGTGGACTTTCCGGATCAGAGGATGCATGGAAACGGAAAATATTTTATTTCTGTGCATCCTCTCCTCCGTTGATTAAAGGTAGGCAACGCATATGTATCGGGTAGGGGTCACTTCGCTATATTAGCGATTTCAGGTGGCCGCTCGCTCGTTTGCCACCTTATGATATAAAAAAAAACTAATAATATCAGGTGACTTGATGGAAAAATGATACGCTATAATTTAATAGTCGTGAGATTACTAGACAGTCTTATGTGAACATTACTTAAATATATAAAATTAACAACAGTATATATTAAAACATAATGTATTTACATAAACATATACAAATTGAATAGTTAAATCGTTTTTCTGTCTGTCTGTCGCCAAGTCCTGAAATCTAAACATCCCCCAGACCGAAGTTATCTTTATCGTTGATTTAACAACGGTCATAAAACAATTAATGGCGCAGTAAAAGGCACGGTAGCGATGGACACACAATCATCACTCGACCACTTGAGGGAGCTTATCTTGTACAAATTATTCCCCTAGTATATCCATGTATCACCTGGTTACACCATTATCCATGGGAACTTTTTAAAACAATTTTAATTCTACAACTTAATGCTTAAAAAGTTTGTTATTGAATTGGAAAGATGAAAACCTTATTAATATTATAAATGCAAATGTTAGGATGGATGGATGGATGTTAGAATTTATAGCCTAAATTCCTTACGAAATTTGCCACAGATGTAGAAGATAGTCTGGAAGATAGACTTATTAAGTTTTTTTTATTCCGCGCGGGCGGAATTTCGGGCAATAGCAAAAAGACAATATAAAACATATTTCTTAATTTTAGAAAGTTTGGAATTAAGTTGTGGTATAACCGTTTTTATTTACATCTAACTAAA